AAGAGGAAGAAAGTTAGCTATGGCTAGGGACATGCTACTCCAGTGGAACGTAGGAGGGCTGCTAACGCACCTATCTGAATTTAAACAATATTTGCGGAAAGAATCCCCTCTCGTAGCAGCCATTCAAGAAACGCACTTTCGGGATTCTGATAACTACAATTATAATGTTTCTGGCTACACCCTTTATAGACACGACATAAATCATACTAATCGACAAGGAGGTGTGGCCCTATACATAGCTAACGCAGTTCCACAACGGCAAACAAACTTGACTACACCACTCAACATCGTAGCGGCTGCTGTGTCACTTTTCAATCGCGACATCCTAATTGCTTCTCTCTACCTACCACCTAACTCTCCTCTAATCACACGACATGCTATGGACCAATTGCTAGCTCAAATGCCTGATAATTGTCTACTTCTTGGTGACTTTAACGCCCACAACCCTTTGTGGGGCAGCCGGCTTTTGTCGGCGCGCGGAAGGATAGTCGAGGCTGAGCTTAACCGGCGATCACTGGTGTGCCTGAACAGTGGCAGGCCCACATACCTTAGCCATAGTTACCACACAACATCAATGATTGATCTTTCTATCGCTTCTCCCCGCGTAGCACCACTCTTCAATTGGAATGTAACTTCAGATCCTCTCTTTTCCGATCATTTTCCTATCCACATAAGTCTTACGATTAGCAATACTTTACCTCGCGCGCCGACTTTGAAAATGTGGCAAACAAATAACGCTAATTGGGACGCATTTAACACGAGTATAAGCCACAATACGTCTAATAGCATTCATCAAACTGTAGATAGCTTTATGAACGCAGTAGTACTTTCAGCCAAAGAGACTTTGCGAGAAAAGAATGTAACAACCGGTTCTTCAAATAGGCCAAAAAATGTAATATGGTGGAATTGGAAATGCCAGCGAGCGAAAGCTATTAGAAAAAGAGCATTCCGAAACTTTCAAAAATGTATTTGCGATAGACATGCGGAACTATACACAGCTGCACGAAAGGAATGTTCTAAAGTAATCTACGCAGAAAAAAAGGCAGCGTGGGAAGAGTATGCATCCAAGTGTAACAGATTCACACCACTGGCCGAACTTTGGGGAAATGTGCGCTCTTTCGCTTCTCGAAAAAACCATCTCAGAGTCTTTCCACAGCTGCTCTCCAACGGTGTCTTCGTAACTGATCCACTCGCTGTTACCAACCTATTCGCAAAACATTTCGCCGACGTATCTTCCTCGAATATCTACTCTCCTAATGTTCACCGGTCTCTAACAGCAAAAACAGCGCGACTTGACTTTTCCTCTACAAACTCCGAATCCTATAACGCTCCTTTCACCCTCTATGAACTTAAACTATCCCTAGCAAAGACGAGAACTAAAACATCAGTTGGCCCAGATGGTGTTCCCTATTCCTTTTTTACCAATCTTAACGAATTAAACCTCTCTACACTCTTGACTGCTTTCAATGATATGTGGCTAAGCGACTCCTTTCCGGATGGCTGGCTTAGCAGTACAATTATTCCCATCCTCAAACCCGGGAAGGATAGTAGCCTAGCAGGTTCCTATCGTCCCATCGCCCTTACCAATTGTATTTGCAAAGTGTTTGAGAGAATGGTGAATACACGTCTCCGATTCTTCCTTGAGAGCAAGTGCATCATCGACAGCTGTCAAAGTGGTTTTCGCAGAGACCGAAGCACGGCGGATAACGTGCTGCGTCTTATTACTGACGTCCAAACAAATTGGGAGCGTCGTCTGCCGACCGTCGCGGTGTTCCTGGACCTCGTGGCGGCTTTCGACAAGGTACATACTTCCACCATTATTTACAAACTACACTCCCTCGGAATTAAAGGCCACCTGGCAGCTTTTCTACGCAACTTTCTCATGCCCAGAACTTTTCGAGTTCGATGTCAAACGACATATTCGGACAGCTTCCCGATGGAACACGGCGTACCCCAAGGTAGTGTGTTGTCGCCAACGCTTTTTCTGATCGCTCTAAACGATATCCTCCTGACGCTCCCGCGCGTACTGACTTTTTCAGTACGATATTCTTTGTTTGCTGATGATATTGCTCTATGGGTCACACACAAAAATTACAAGAGGGCGTACTTCATCCTCCAAGCAGCTATCGACCACTGCGTCAACTGGTGCATGGAATGGGGGTTCTTCCTATCTGCTCCCAAATCTGCCATGATCGTTTTCAAACGTGGACCACCCCCGTCCCTGAATGACTCGCCTCGAATTGAGGGAACAGCTATTCCGTTTCATGAGTCTCATAAATTTCTAGGAATCATACTAGACTCAAAACTGACCTTCAGGCTTCACGTTGATCACATAAGAACACGTTGCATCAAAAGACTTAACGTTCTAAGATGTATCAGTGGCTTTTCCTGGGGTGCTGACAGAAAAACTCTATCGATGTTGTATATTGGCCTCATTAGATCAACTATTGAATACAACTGCTATCTATTTAACACAATCTCGCCCACATTGTGCAAAAGGCTGGAAGCCGTTCAGTCTACGTGCCTGAGGCTGATAACCGGGGCTTTTCGTACCACCCCCGTCCTCGCCCTACGAGCAGAATCCGCCCTACCTGCACTTAAAGACCGACGCCTCTACTTACTAATGCGTTACTACTATCGTGCGAAAAGCGTTCAAAACCACTTATCTATACCCGCAATAGAGCGAAGAAAGCCTCGAACGCGGCGACCGCTACGAGGATCCTGCTTTCTCCCTGATTCTCTTGAGGAAGCGCACACATCTTTCAACATGTGCCGGTTTGACGTTGCTCGCAAACCCCCTCCTACGCCCTTCTGGACCCGTAGAAACCCAACAATAGAATTTCTTTTCGACGACTGCAAAGAGTATATATCACCATTAGAGAGTGTTATGCTTCTTCGAAGCTACATGGAACAAAACGACGATTCAGCCTTTTTCTACACCGATGGCTCGTGCACAGAGAATAAGGCTGGTTCTGCAGCCGTGGGACAAGGATTCGAATTCAAAGCTCGCCTCCCTGATTACAGCACCATCTTTACTGCAGAGGTATATGCGATAAGAAAAGTCCTCGCATACATCAAAGCGGAAAATATCGAACGTGCTACGATATGCACTGACTCTAAATCGACACTTCAGGCCCTCAAACGGAAAGAAAACGTTACCCATCACGGCATCCATAATATCCACGAAATACTTCTGGAACTGACGGCAGCACAGCATGTTACTTTCCTATGGATACCCAGCCATCACGGCATTGCTGGTAATGAACGAGCGGACGCCCTTGCGAAGGAAGCTACACTGCTCCCTGAGTCGGTAATAGAACCTATGGCGCATGGAGACGCACTGCACATAGTCAAAATTAAGTTTGCGGAGTATTTGCAACGAAAATGGAATCAAACTCACGCGCCACATATCTACGCGATCAAACCAAGGCTCGGAATTTGGCACACTTGCAATCAGCCGAACAGGATAAGAGAAGTTATCCTAACTAGGCTGAGATGCGGTCACACCCGCCTCACCCACAGTCACCTTTTTGACAGAGCAGGCCCGCCTGTATGTCAAAATTGTAACATACGGCTGACCGTCGAACATCTACTAATCGGATGCCAATCATTCCGAAACGAACGCCGGCACATCACAAGGTACCTCGCTTTACATCGTCTAAATTTTGACATGCCGACCATTCTTGGTGATAACCCCACACTAACAGACTTGGTACTCGACTTCATAATAAACTCTAAACTAGTAGAAGAACTCTAGCGCGATGACGACTTAAAGGCTTTTGCAGACCCGCACCTCCCCCTGAGCCTGGAACAGCGGCCGGACTCAGAGACGGGAGTATGTCGTTGATACTGTGCCCGAAAACTCCAAAAGATCCTTGACCCCAGGCCCTGAGCTCAACGATCGGGAGCGATGTGGCCGGGTCGGGGATCGCAAACAGACACGACACAGTTGCCTGAAAAGGCGACCGGAGTCCACCTCGCCCCACACACACGCCTTCGAGCTGCGAAGCGGCGCTGCAACGTTCCTGGCCTCCTCAGCTGCTTTAGCATCTCTAACTTCGGGATGAGGACAACCAGCAGGTAAACCCTAACGTAAATAATAGGGTTTTCCCCACGCACATGTAATCCGAAGCATCCCCCCCCCCCCCAATCAGCAGAGTTATTTTGCAATTGGCCCCTCTTTACCTTTTGAAAAGTTACATGTGCGTGGGTTTCCCTATTTTGCTATTAATAAAGTGGCCACCGGTCTCACTTCATGAGCCGGGTATAGGGGTCACCTCCTCGCGAGGCGAAAAACGAAAGTTGAGGCCACTAAAAAAAAAAAAAAAAAAGTGTTATGTGCACCGCAAACGCCTCATGTGGTAGCTAAGTGGCAGCATGGTGCCTGTGCTAAAAATTTGCATGTTTTCTCCCCGAGTAGTAAAGGAATCTTGTTCTCCCCCATTGAATTAGAATGGCTAGGTTCTGCAGTTACTAATGACGGTGAAACAGTGCTGCGGGCGTTGCGAAATCGCCCGGCAATTTTTGGACTTTCTGAGCAGATATGTGCATCGTGCAATACGCACTGTGCAGTGCGTATTGCAAAATGCATAGGTATTATGACGCTTTGTGAGCTGCCAGCCTGTAAGTTCGAAATCGCTTGCATGTTTGAAGTTGAAAAATCGCTTTGATCAATTCACATGACTAGTGTAGATATTTATACTTCTACCGACATAGGTCAGTGACCTGACCTGACTTGACCTGAAAAGCAATTATTGACAATAATATTGTGCTCCCTATAGTTTACACTGTCACTGTCATAGGCGGCGGAACGGGGAGGGCACCGGGGCACCGTGCCCCCTTTGATTTTGGCATTTTAACATAAGCCCTATGGGCGTTGCATGGAAAGAATGGGACCAAAAGTCGGCAGTGCCCCCTCTTGATTGAAGGTGTTCCGCCGCTACTGGTCACTGTGTTCCACATAACCATTCGACGTTTCTACCATTGCTTGGTCTTATCCGGCATTCGGCCTCTGCTATCGAAGACCTAGCACTTTACGGGACACAGACCCCCTGATTCATTTGAAGAGCTGATAGGATCGATAGCAGCTGGGTGAGGTCTGACTGGGATACTGAAAGGACCCCCACATTTACTTACATACGCTTCAAATAGCTTTGGTATCCGGCATTTTATCGCACAAGGACGGGTCCGGCTGAGCTCTGGCTCTATCTGGGCTCGGAATCTGTGGCCGATAGTGCCCGAGGTGCGCCCGGCATCCCAGTCGGGCTTGTCATCGGCGCGCCTCGTGAGACCCGCCCAAGCGGACTGTCCGGCGAACACCGGTCAACACTCGGCCAGGCAGTCCTCCGGCGGCTTCTCGAAGGTAGGTGAGCAGCTAAGAGCAGGCACCGAAGGAGCCAGCACCGTGACATGCAGGTTTTGCTCTTGCATTAGGTATTATACCTACTTGTGTTGGTTTTGATTTATTTTTTCTTATTTCTATCATGTCATTTTTTCTAGCATGTGTATCGAATACATACTCGTAACACGAAATATTAGTCGTTTTCACGACGGTTACCTGGCTCACATTTCGTTTATATGCACTTTTGATGCGATTTGGTCAAATTAACCCGCGCCCTGCTGGGGGGGGGGGTGTTTGAACACCCCCCCCCTTGTGGTTTTTCGCGAATATCTCAAAAACGGCGGCGCGGAGCGCCGCCGTTTTTGGTCCACCTTATCATACATCAATTCTACACATGTTGTGAAAATTTCAGACCAAGGTCATTCAAGGTCAGGTCACCAGGTCACTTGAAGTGACCTCACCTCATAAAAAGTTTCAATGTCTGTCATAGCTACACCGAGTGACCGATCGCTTTGAAACTTTCAGCGATTGCTAAGAGCAATAGCATGTACAAAATGTATATCTCAGAATTTTGATATCAATGACCTAAGGTCAGGTCAATTTTGCGACCTCCCTATAAGTCAATGGGAGAAAATTGAAATGCGCCTCTTTTGGACGAAAGACATTATAAACACTCCCAAACACCGAATTACAAGTGGTTTAGACACACTGAACATGAAAATGGTGTCCGTGACCCTTGTTTATGCCCTGAGGTCATCTTAGGTCACGAATGGTATCTAACAGTTTTTCGCAAATAACTTTTGATAGAGGCATGCTAGAGCGATGAAAACGCCTTAGATGTGTTCAGATCGACGATACGGATCGACTGATATGCAACATGACCCTTTCCGGTCAGGTCATGACCTTGACCTGAGGTCAAATTTTCAAGTTGACCTTTCAAGGTCAAGTTATAGTTCATTCGATGCGTCTTGAGGAGAGGAACACGATGCCGGTAAAAGTAAGCTCGTACAGGGCTTGGGTCAAAAGTTATTGCAGAAAAACTGTTTCCGAAAAAATCGGCTATTTTTGCAGTTTTTGCCCCCTGCAGGCAAAACCGTTGACGTTAGGTCAAATCTGACAGAATAACCCAGAAAGGGCGTTAATAGGGCTATCGAATGCGCTTTTCCGCGGCGCTGTAGCTCTATTGGTTCCCGAGTTATGCGTTGGCTTTTTGGAAATTTTCGACATTCGACCTGGAAATCGGCGAAATTTTGCCTTCAATGACCTCTGGTGACCTGACCTTTGACCTGACCAAAAAATTGACCGAAGTGATTTCGTCATTATTTTTGACGCTCTTTCGAACGCCGCCTTCCGCGTATCGCTACGTGGCCCAGGAGCCGAGTTACAAGGGGGGGGGGGTGTTCAAACACCCCCCCCCCCCCAGCAGGGCGTGGAAATCCAGGACCCCCAGCCGGGCGCGGGTTAACCCGCGCCCTGCTGGGGGGTGTTTGAACACCCCCTTCCCTTGTGGTTTTTCGCGAATATCTCAAAAACGGCGGCGCGGAGCGCCGCCGTTTTTGGTACACCTTATCATACATCGATTCTACACATGTTGTGAAAATTTCAGAACAAGGTCATTCAAGGTCAGGTCACCAGGTCACTTGAAGTGACCTCACCTCATAAAAACTTTCAATGCCTGTCATAGCTACACCGAGTGACCGATCGCTTTTAAACTTTCAGCGATTGCTAAGGGCAATAGCATGTACAGAATGTATATCTCAGAATTTTGATATCGATGACCTAAGGTCAGGTCAATTTTGCGACCTCGCCATTATAAGTCAATGGGAGAAAATTGAAATGCGCCTATTTTGGATGCAAAACACTCCCAAACACCGAATTACAAGTGGTTTAGACACACTGAACATGAAAATGGTGTCCGTGGCCCTTGTTTATGCCCTGAGGTCATCTTAGGCCACGAATGGTATCTAACAGTTTTTCGCAAATAACTTTTGATAGAGGCATGCTAGAGCGATGAAAACGCCTTAGATGTGTTCAGCTCGACGATACGGATCGACTGATATGCAACATGACCCTTTCCGGTCAGGTCATGACCTTGACCTGAGGTCAAATTTTCAAGTTGACCTTTCAAGGTCAAGTTATAGTTCATTCGATGCGTCTTGACGAGAGGAACACGATGCCGGTAAAAGTAAGCTCGTACAAGGCTTGGGTCAAAAGTTATTGCAGAAAAACTGTTTTCGAAAAAAAAATCTGTTATTTTTGCAGTTTTTGCCCCCTGCAGGCAAAACCGTTGACGTTAGGTCAAATCAGAGAGAATTGTTCAGAAAGGGCGTTAAAGGGACTATCCCACCTTTAACCCGCGCCCGGCTGGGGGTCCTGGATTTCCACGCCCTGCTGGGGGGGGGGGTTGTTTGAACACCCCCCCTTCTAACTCGGCTCCTGGGCCACGTAGCGATACGCGGAAGGCGGCGTTCGAAAGAGCGTCAAAAATAATGAGGAAATCACTTCGGTCAATTTTTTGGTCAGGTCAAAGGTCAGGTCACCAGAGGTCATTGAAGGCAAAATTTCGCCGATTTCCAGGTCGAATGTCGACAATTTCCAAGAAGCCAACGCATAACTCGGGAACCAATAGAGCTACAGCGCCGCGGAAAAGCGCATTCGATAGCCCTATTAACGCCCTTTCTGAGTAATTCTCTCAGATTTGACCTAACGTCAACGGTTTTGCCTGCAGGGGGCAAAAACTGCAAAAATAGCCGATTTTTTCGGAAACAGTTTTTCTGCAATAACTTTTGACCCAAGCCTTGTACGAGCTTACTTTTACCGGCATCGTGTTCCTCTCGTCAAGACGCATCGAATGAACTACAACTTGACCTTGAAAGGTCAACTTGAAAATTTGACCTCAGGTCAAGGTCATGACCTGACCGGAAAGGGTCATGTTGCATATCAGTCGATCCGTATCGTCGAGCTGAACACATCTAAGGCGTTTTCATCGCTCTAGCATGCCTCTATCAAAAGTTATTTGCGAAAAACTGTTAGATACCATTCGTGACCTAAGATGACCTCAGGGCATAAACAGGGGTCACGGACACCATTTTCATGTTCAGTGTGTCTAAACCACTTGTAATTCAGTGTTTGGGAGTGTTTATAATGTCTTTCGACCAAAGGAGGCGCATTTCAATTTTCTCCCATTGACTTATAATGGGGAGGTCGCAAAATTGACCTGACCTTAGGTCATCGATATCAAAATTCTGAGATATACATTTTGTACATGCTATTGCTCTTAGCAATCGCTGAAAGTTTCAAAGCGATCGGTCACTCGGTGTAGCTATGACAGACATTGAAACTTTTTATGAGGTGAGGTCACTTCAAGTGACCTGGTGACCTGACCTTGAATGACCTTGGTCTGAAATTTTCACAACATGTGTAGAATTGATGTATGATAAGGTGTACCAAAAACGGCGGCGCTCCGCGCCGCCGTTTTTGAGATATTCGCGAAAAACCACAAGGGGGGGTGTTCAAACACCCCCCCCCCAGCAGGGCGCGGGTTAACATGGGGTTTGAGTTGAGATAGCCAAGTTTGCGGCGAGGTTCAGAAACCACTATCTATCTAGGTTGCAACCCCCGCGGCCTCTTGGTGTTGAAGAAATTCGTTCCCTTCATTTGAAAATGGGCCTTGTACAAGGCCCTATCTTCAACATGGAGCGACCGTTAGTGTGACGTCACCTCGTTTAGTCATTCTGATTTAAATGGGTTTGTTCGTTGAAAAATCGCTTAAAACTTGGTCTGAACTTTGTTGTGGTGCCTACAGAGTAAAAAGAATCAGCTTTATGACAGTAATGTGGCCTGGGGAAGGAGGTAATTTTGGGCTGTGACGTCACATATTTGAAAGTTTGTGTTTGGAATATGGGGAGCCTATGATGTTTAATGAAAAATAAATGCCAGAACCGTGTTCCTGGTCATCCAATCTATAAAGTCGGGCACAATTTAACTGGTTTTAACAACATTTTAGAAGGTGGGATAGTCCCTTTAATAGGGCTATCGAATGCGCTTTTCCGCGGCGCTGTAGCTCTATTGGTTCCCGAGTTATGCGTTGGCTTCTTGGAAATTTTTGACATTCGACCTGGAAATCGGCGAAATTTTGCCTTCAATGACCTCTGGTGACCTGACCTCTGGTGACCCCCCAGCAGGGCGTGGAAATCCAGGACCCCCAGCCGGGCGAGGGTTAAGTTGTTGTTGGTTGTTTCGGTTGTTTCATCGTATTTTTTCATCTGATGTGGCACTAGTAGTTGCCTGGTAGTTGGTTGCCTGCCTGATCTATAAAACAATCAATCATTAATTTATCTTCTAAATTCTATCAATAACATTGATATAAATCTATCAACTGAAATTATGTCTACGGGATTCTGTGCACTAATATTGTGAGATTGAGATTTAGTCAGATTCGGTCAAGTCTGGTGCATTCGCCAGATAACCTGTTGTACGTACCCCGTTGGATATCATAGGTACTCGGTGAAAACCTAAGGAAGCTGTCAATTCGAAGAAGCAAATGAGGCGGTGCGACTCCTCAAAAAGAGTGTTAACCCGCGCCCTGATGCATCAGGGGTCTGCCGAGCAACGCGGTCTGATGGGGGGGGGCATTTTTGTCCCCCTAAGATCTCGAGAACCACGCAACATAGCGACAAGCGGCAAACGGCGTTGGATAGCCCCAGCGGGGAACTACCTCATGACCTAATTTCATTGACCTCGGTCCAACCGATGACGTCACAGGTCAGGTCAAAGTTCGAATTTTCACCGTCTACAGACATTTCAAGAAATGCGTTGTTAAATCGAGTAAAATGCATTTCATTGAAAATCATCGATGGGGAAATGTTCGTCAAACACATATTTTGCTATTTGAGTAACTGATACCAGGTCAGGTCACAGAGGTCAGGTCACTGAGGGTCACAATTTGAAAATATTATGTGATGCATGTTTTATGGTCCATTTTATGTCAAATGCGATTATGTGGGACAGACAGCCCTTGG